TATATATCTCTCTCTCTCTCTCTCTCTCTCCCTTCTGTTCTCTCCTCACTCTTTCGTTCTGTCTGCATTCAGCTTCATGAATATATCTCACTCTCTCTCCAAGCTTATTCCTATTGATACAAGAATATTTGAGACTCAAGGCTTGGAATATTTTTTTAATATACCTATATTGTAGAAAAACAACTTAAAGTTCAGCTTCTCGTACAAGCTAAAATTATTTAACACAATTGCAAACAATTCAAATTCAAATATCTCCATATCTGCATTTTCAAAAAGTTTTTTTATGATTTCGATTTGGAATTCAAATGATTTTATTATATTTATTTTTTAGTAATACTTTCAGAGAAAAAAAAAAATGTCCGTATTACACCGCAATTTTCCAATAAATACAACTTCTATAAAGTGCTTTGTGTTCCATTTCCCGACTAGAGCATTGCTTAGTCGGAGAACATATTTGAGAGCTGAACACACGTAAATACATAAATACATTCTGACTTTTCAGGTTGTCACTGCCAAGTCTTAAATTAATGTTTGCAAGCTCAAAGCCATGAATATGTCAGATTTGTGACTAAACCAATATAATAGACAGTTGACGTCACGGAAAAAATGGAATTTCTTTTAAATATTTGCTGTATTTTACGGGGTAATATACATACATATAGATATATATATTTCGTATTTCTGTCAAATTACGTATGCGGTAATACTTTTATCTCATCCAAAATGTTGCCAAAAAATAAAAAGAAAGGAACCAAGACAAACAGACGAAAATAAAGTATTTTATGATGGGTGCTTTCCCTGTGAGTTATAGGGTGAACTGTTCTAATCTATTGCTGATAAAGTGAAAGTCAAGTAATGTTAGAAATGCAATTATTCATGACTCGCCTGAAAATAAAAAATAAGAAAAATGAAAACAAAAAAGCGAAAATACGGAAAATACAGAAATATAAAAATAAAACGGACATGGAACCCCAAATTTAATGGAACATGCGCCAATAAACACAAATAGGGGGTAGAGCAATGGAAAAATGTCGAGTCGTGTCCATTAGTTGGTTTGTTGTCTCTGTGTCTGGCGTTTCTTCGACGGGAGGATGGCAATGCCCGTCGCGTCGTTTGTCTGTCAGCGTTAGCTGCTTGATGAACTATTAATTTCTCTTTGCTGCCGCTCAAATTTATTTTGAACAAATGCGGCACGTGTGGCGGGAACATAATTTCGAAAACGCCAGCTGAGAACACATTCATAACACTTTTAAATATAATAAAGAAAATGTTTGTTTGCCCCAGTGACAAATTTTGTTGTTTACAGCAACGATGCCTTACTAATTAATCATACATGCAGTTAAGTCAAGAAGGGCTAGAGATGGGTGCAGAGAATAGAGATGTGGTAGCACATTGATTACATGCTATCGGAACTAATGAAATGAACGGATCGAAGTTGCAATTAAGCAGAGAAAGAAGAGATGGCATATCGATCGATTACTAGCTATCGCAACAGAGCTAAACGATACTTGAATTTAAGCACGGCAGTAAAAAAGCGTAGTTAATGCGTAATTTGGAAGACATTTTATGTTTAGCTATAAACAAATGTCGTTGAAGCTGCATAGAATTGTATTTGTCTGATTACAAAATGTCATTTTAGGCTAATTAAAGTTAAAATGGATTTCGGCTTATGTGCTTGCCGCATTCTTAGGCCAAATCCATTCCTCGACGACTAAGGACTGACCGAATTGCAAAGTTTGCCATGTGCCCTGCCGCAATAATACATAATTGGTAGGCGTCTGGCGGCCGGCAGCTCAAATAGACAACGACAGGTGGTCGCCTGCAGTGAGCTAATGAGGAAGAGAGAACGAGAGTGAGAGAGAAACAGAGAGAGGGATGAGCATGCTGATCAGCGCAGGTTGCCCATTCTCTTGTCCGCTGCTGCTGCTGGTGGTGCTGTTGGGAAGCTTGTGGTGCCAATGGCGAGGCGCGGAGCATGTCCATTAGCTGATTTAATGAAATCGTAAATCAAATGAACGGATTGCTAAAAATAGCCGCGCGCGTATTTTATGTTTTTTGAAGTGGAACTTATGCCACAGCAATGAGAGTACAACAACGCCTAACAATAGATGAAACGTGGATGATTGTGCCAAAAGCAAGCCCAGTCTCCGATAGCATGCACGTACATATACACACATATATATGTATATATGATAGTGTGCATATTTACATATATCAGCTTCTATATCTGCATCCGTATGCGCCTTCTATCTGTGCCTAATGATGAGCACATGTAATGTTTTGTATTGCAAACTTGGCGTTTTATTTCGACATTTCTTACAATGAATAATGCACACTTCTGCTCGATTTCTTTCTCTTATTTTTGGGCGATTTTGGTTGCATCTTTTGTTGCTGTTGTTGTTTTTATCATTTCGTTCTTGTTTTTGTTTTTGTTTTTGCTGTTGCTTCTGCTTGGCCTATGTATTTGGCAAGAGTGCAACCATTGTCGTAGTCGCCGTCGTTGTCGTCGTCTGTGACTTACAAGGCGTGTCTATCGCGTTGGCCAAGATTTTTGCTTGGCTGGCCGGCGTTACAGTTTTGTGCGTCTCGTCTGTCTTGTCTGTCCCTCAAGATGCCTTTTATTATTACATGTGCATGCATATAGCAGGCGCACGATGATTATGAGCACTGGCTGCACATGTACGAGCGGGCATCTTCATTTAATTAAAACATTCATTTGCTCCACTGTGCTGCAGCCGTCTGGCTTGTTATTTATGCCTGGCGTTTTGCTCTTCAGTCAGCATCTACAGCATCATGATCATGACGATCAGTTTGAACAGCATCCGTGTCCAATCCTAAGCAGCTTCGTTTGTCATGCGAAATACATCCAAGAGACGTCCGATTCTAGACGCCAAATTTTTACCTTCATCATCTTTCATGATTATTTATTGGTGGCATTAGTCAGCATCTATGCACTTTTCTATTGTTGTGACTAATTTTATTTATTTGCTGTAAATCTTATTCAGTTTTATTGCCAACAGGCATTCGCGGCGCACAAAATGTCAAAATAAATTTCACATTTCTACTTACTGTGCCAGCAACTTATCCTTTCCCTTGCCACAGCACACAACTGAGCAACTATGTATGTGCTGCCGAGAGATACCACAGCTCATAGCTTGCACTTGTCAGTGCCCTGAAATTCCTCTTTCGCCATGCCCCATTCCTCGGCACTCACTCTACCGCAGAGCGTGCTGTCGTTATTTGTGGAAATTCTACAAATATTTCGTGGCGAACTGAAACATTGGCAACTGATTAATGATGGAAAAGCCACACCCAGGGGGAGTGGAAATCCTTGTGAAGCCATTCCATCATCGAAAGCTAGTTTCCGGAAACTTCTTTAACTATGAACTTCTTACCGTTGCTGCAGGTATTACCTTAATATATTAAGAAAGAAGTGTCTGACTATAATATTGTTTAAAATCGTGATCAAGGAATTCGTAAATTTTAGTTGGGCTTGCTGATAATTGCACCCAGCTTACTCCTACTGGATAGGTTCAGCATCATATTACAGCTAAAAAGCACAATTTCCATTGACTTTAGCTGACAACTTAACCATACAGAGTTTAAATATGTATTTGAAATATAATAAACTTTCAAAACTTAAAATAAATACATTTTTATAGGGCCCTTTAGTCACTTTATGGAGCAAATTAATACGTAAATCGTGTTACTATTTATGCTTTTCATTCACAACTAAACTCCCTAAATATAATATTTTTACATTTGTGGATTTACCACAAAATTGTCAGCAAATACAAATACATACAAATAATATTTACAGCTACGCATTAAGACAATTGAACGGCGATGATCCGAGTTCCGTGTGATATTAAAAAAAAAAAATAAATGGATTTATAGTTTTGAAATCCATTTCATTTTATAACAACTCATTCTACGGATAATAAATTCACTTTTCCATTGATTAAGACATAAGAAAATAAATAGTAACGGAAATTTAATGCCATTTTATGTATACTGTGCAAAGTCGATTTTCTAAAACATACAAACAGATGAAATTTGTTCTTTTTTGCAAATATGCAAAGCTCTTCATTGGGAGCGCACACAAATAAAACATGAAGCAAATTGAGTGGCGTTTAGGTGAGCTGCCTTGGAAGGAAAGTGGTCCTTTGAGCGCTCAATTTGAAGTGCTGTGCTGATTGCAGGGCATAATGCAGTTATTTGTCATTA